GTATGCCACACAATGAATTCCATTGGGCATACTAAATTAAAATTGAATCTATCGAACTTTCAGTTAAGTACTAAACACAAAAAAAATGAATGATGACCATGAGGTTATAAACAAATTACAACTATAACAATAAGAAAGAAACAGAAAAAGTATGAATAATGAGGTTACCTTATACATATCTCGCTTATCGTTCTCATCATTGAGTGCTTGCTGGCAGGCGTGCACCTCAGCCAGGATGTTGTTCATGAGCAGCGCCAGCTCGGGCTGCGTCAGCAAAAGCTTCTTCAGGCGGAATGGCAGCTCGGCTGCCGTGCCCTCGCAGTACACCAGCACAGCCATGTCATTACTGCGCACCAGCGCTGAACACGATGTGGGATATATCTGGAAACATTAAAATCTTTCGAACAATAGATAAGGGGGTAAAAATGTAATTTGCTTCTGTCAGATTCTATTTCTTTTAAATTAGGCATACCAAACTCTTCCTCGTTAGTTACCATTTGAAAAGCATAGTCTAGAAAATAAACAATTTCCATGACTCAATCATTTATTCAACTTAACATATACTTACATCATCTAAGATCTGACACTCCCTGTTCAAAGTTACAAACTTAACAGTGTCACCTTGCTCAACTGGATCCACTGCAATAACATAATAAAAATAAGCACTACAAATAAACTTAGTTACAAAAATAAATATTAAGTTACAGCAGAACACATTGGTCCATGTGTTCTTAATTTGTCTTTTTCAAATATTGGCGGCTTAAGGCTATCAACAGTCTAAAATTCTTTAATTTATATGTGAACTACTATACCTAATGCCAAGCTATTATCCTGCTGTGGTCTATCTGAAGCTCCAATTTCAATAGTGATAGGATGAGTGTAGTCAATGTCGAATGTCTGGGCCTGGGATGATTCTATTGCATTCAGTATTGCCTCCTCCGTTATCTGTATTGTATCTATCAAGGAGCTATCACTACTCACTTGTGATGCAGCATCTTCTGAAAAAAATACATTTTTTAGTCATCATCATCATCATCATCCACTTGCCCTTATCCCTTATGGAGGGTCGGCACAGTATGTGCTGCTCTTCCATACATCTCTATCAGCCGTCATATCTGAATCCACTCCTTTCTTAAGCATATCTTCTTTCACACAATCCATCCATACTTTCTTCGGTCTTCCTCTTCCTTTGTAGCCATCCACATTTAATCTCAACACTTTCTGGTTTATGTCATAACATAATTTATAATCTTCCTTTATTGGTGTAAATGCAACAGTTTGGATGGATGGATGTTCGTTAAAGTTTGTAGCCTAAACTGCTGAACAGATCTTGTTGAAATTTGGCAAGATGTAGAGGATAGCCTGAAGAACACATTGGCTTGTCTAATTTTTAATCCATGTGGGCTAGATACTATAAAAACAGAAAAATAATTCTTAACTTACCGTTCAACTCTCTGTTTTTGCTCAACAAATGTCGCAAATGTTTACTTATCTTTGATATAGCTTCCTTCACCCTCTTCTGATTCATTTCAAGTGATTGTAACTTTTGTGTTAGAGCTATACGTCTATCGGGAACAACTGCCATTAAGTTGAATCTGAATGAAGATATATTTTGGTACACATTTTTTGGCAATTGACAATTATAATTATATAAAAGCGATCTTCAGTTTTGAAAAAGTTCAAAAATACCTGATGTCATGCACCTGTTCACCAGCATCTCTACCAAGTCTCTCTGCCATTACTCTTCGAAATTTGTCAGTCCAATCCTCATCATTCGCCCAAGGACCATGATCAGTGGGATATGGCTTCAGACCATCCAATTCAAACAAATGACCATTGATGGGTACAAAACTTACAAAATGGTAAGCCTCACCTAAAAACAAGGATAGTTTAGCAAATAAGTTTCTGTACTTGTTCAATGGCTAAGATAGTGTTGCCTACCATTACCTAAGTATTTTGAAAATCCTACTAAGGTCAGATCATGCTAGTGAGTGGAGTAGGAAGATGCAATTTAGCATTCTGTCAACTGTCCCTGTCTTTCTAGGTGTATTTTTATAGTGGTATTTCTAAAATAATACCTGTAAATCGTCCAGTGGAGACACCAGCGTTTTTATCAGCTTTTTTTCTAGCTTGTGGGATGGCATGAGAGTTGTGTGCACAAGCTAACTCAGGAGTGTTGCCTATCGCCCAACCTTTATTTTCTGGATTCATACCTAATGTATGATGCTAGAAATGTAATATCGAAAATTGTTATAACAAATGTAATTTTAATATTTTGTACATAGTTATAAATAAAATTGTAACATACGCAAAAGTTTTTACCACATACCTTTAGCCTGCTTAGAGTTTCACCTAAGTGAAGATTAGGACAATTTAATAAAATAGAAAGAAGCGCATGTGTTGCGCAACTGTTGGGGACCATCTGCTGTGCAAAAAATATGTTATTGATTGTCTCTTCATCACGTACGAAACTTTCTATTTGTTCTACAAATTTTCGACGCGAACGCCTCTCCTCTATCCATCTGAATAAAAATATAAATCCATACACAGGACTTTCCAAAGGCTTATGTAAGTCATAAATTTCTTCCACTTGAACTCCCTTTACACCAAAATCTTCCAATAGTAAAGTAAACAGTCCCGGATCACTTTCTAATTCGAGCCATCCTTCAGTTAAACTATTTAATTCAACCGGCATATTTTTCATATATGTGGTTTAATTTCCTTTGTAGACAATTTTTTTGCCACTAATTCTTTTTTTTTAGTTTAATGTTTATAATTAGAAAGTAGGGATCTCAAAGTTCTTATATTTCTTTTATAAATATCAAAAGAAAATAAATTACAGTGTACAAAGTTGTACAATATACAATCTGACAATGACTTTTGATTGTCAGTTTTTTGACATTGACATCGGGTACGGGGAGCGCATAAGCAGTTTTAGGGTTACCTGGAATGGAAACCACCTGACTTCATCGGTTTTCCGTGCGAAAGCAAAAACGTACTAGATATAAGCAAATGATTTGCAACTTGATATGAGTACCAGTTGTATTTCATTATTATTTAAATTGATTCATCTATACAAATTACACACATTTATTATTGTTCACGTAAAGGCAAGGCAACGTTATGTTTTTTGACTTAACTGAGTTCAGCATTAATGACAACAGGTAGTCGTATGTAGCATCAACACACATGGTCTTAATATTAGCAAATAAAACTGTACATGTACATTAAACATGTTTTGATGTTAGCTCCGATATTTCTCTAGAATATCAAAAATTTTTAAATGACAACATTAACCTCATGCAACATCAGCGCTATCATTGGTCTAAATAAGACGCTGTCAAGATGACGTATGCTATTCGCGAATTCGCATTCGCAATATTCTGTCAAAGATATTACTAGATAACTAGGTAGTAACAAAATTGATGATCTGCAGATCAGCTCACGGTTCGCGTCAACAAAAAGATTAACTCAATTTGTATCTACATAGATTTATCATCAGGGTGAGTTGTGGGGCACGGGGCAATTTATGGCTAGCGAGCTCCATTAATTATAGTATGTCGCGTTGAGACGTCAGCTGCTAGTCAGTTCAGTTCAGTTGTTAGCCGCAGCTCAACGGTTTAAAGCTATGTTAGCTGATCTTTCAACCAGTGTTAAGAATCAGAACTGATTTACACATCTCTATAAGATACTTGTCATGTCAATGTCAAGCAATATCCATATTTTTCACGTGTTTGTTATTGTTTGCAAAATAACTTGAGTTCAGCTGAAGCTGAAATAAACTTCAGCAGTTTTTGAGTTTTGCTTTGATGGACGAAGCTCGTAACGGCAGTTTACGACGAAAATATGGAGGATGTTCTGTGTTTGTCAGAAAGAGAATTTACCACATATTTTATATCAATTTACCGTGAATTGCCAACGTTATGGAATACAAAGTCCCGAGATTATACGGACAAATATAAAAGGAAATTGGCCTTCACGAAAATGACAAATTTATTAAAAATGCTCCGTCCTAATATTACTGAGTATGATGTAAAGAAAAAAATAAACATCTTGCGTACCAGTTACAAACGTGAAGAGAACAAAGTTATTAAGGCCATGGGTTCAGGTTCTGGGGATCCTTATGTACCGTCATTGTGGTTCTATAATCATTTACAATTTCTACATGAAGAGGATGAAGCAGATGGAGAGAATGAAGAGAATGACATAAGCATCATAACAGATAAACAGGTAATTGTTACAATTGGTTTTTTATAGTGTGATAAGTTTTACACAATGTAACGGTTAAGCTATTTATTAAATGGTCATTTCGCTTCCTCAAAGAACTATTGAGTGGTTATTAATGGACAATTTATAATCTAGTAACATATAATACAGTTGTATCTAATTATTTTGTGTGTTTAAAGGAATCATCATCGTCACGATCATCAAACTCATCACCTTCAAATTCAATGCAACAAAAAAAGAAAAAAAACAACAACTCTAAATATGAATTTAGGATAGCCAAGGACCAAGTCAACGGGCTAGAAAATGAATATAATGTAATGGCAACAAACTGGGCGTATAAATTGGAGTGGATGACTCCAAATCAAAGGCGACTGGCAGAAAAGTTCATTAACGAAATACTCTTTGAAGGTGAAGAAGGAAATCTTAATAGGAATTCTGTAGTAATTAATGCTAACAGTACATGTTCAATTCCCTCAAAACCTGTTATAACAATAAAATCTTCCAACTCTGAGTCATAGATATCTTCTGAAATTCTTCTATTCTAAAAAAACAAAAAGTGAACAGTGTGTCGATTTTTCTGCGACATTCTGACATAAAAATAAGTACAGTACTATGAAAGCAGTTGAAAAATTTAATTTTCTAGTAATTTACCAGCATGACCTGGGTTTTTTAAATCTATAAAATGTGTATTTGTGTTAATATTCACTGGCTTTCTCAATAGCCATCTTATGATGTAAAAAAATTAGGATTAAGACTAGGATTAGGTTGACTGAGGCCTAATCCTCTGTGGTGTAGACTTGAGCTCTCAAAGAAAGCTGCTCTCAAAGAGAGCTGTCAAAGAATATAATCTATAGACTATTTTCCCATTCCTTTAATTGATTCATACACTTATTTGATTGGTTGGGGTTGAAAGCTACCAGCTAATAGGATGATCACTGTTTGTTTAATATCAGTTGGATTGAATAAGAACACATATCATTGCAACAACATTTATTTTGTATGTACACTTAATTTTCGCAGCTTTGTATAATGTACAAATAATAAATGCACAACTTCAGCATTGTAAAACTCTTAAATCAAAATAACTCGCAAGCACAAAGTGTTGCAATTAAATGAAACTTTAGAACATTACAATAAAGTTAATGTATATCAGGAATTGGTCCCACTTTAAAGTTAGTACGCTCAATGGTAATAAAATATAATTACTAAATAATTATGTTACCATGGTGCTGTTTATAGGAAAATTCTCTCAGTTCGTTTTTGTTACACAGAATGATTGTTTATACATTAACAGTATTTTTACACGGACTTGAGATTACAAATCGCGTTAAAAATACTGTTATTGCAATTGATGGCTACTGTTTTAAGTGTCCGTTACTTCAGACCAACTGCAATTTGCATGTTAGTTGTTAGTAGATTATTTACAAATATTGAGCATGTTGCCATTGTAAATAATAAAAAATATTGTCTATTGTTTAAATTCAAATTCCGTTTGTCTTAAAACGAAACGTTATTCAGCTGTGTTTTGTTTTATACAATATAAATTTTGTAATTAAGTGTTAATTAAAGTTTTAGAGGTTAGTGTGGGTCATAATTTACTTGATAGGTTATAATTTTCAATGTCAAAAAACTTATGCTGAGATTATGTAAAAATAGCACCGTTTATAAGCATATTGTTTACGTAACCTCAACATACAATTTTTATGGTTTCTCCGTCTAAGCATGGTACTAAACAAAACGTCATTCAAGTTGTGCAATAACGATGTGTACAAATTACAAATAATTATGCATGTTGGTGACTAAATGACAAGTATTTTAGTCGTTAAGTTGAGGACTAGAATAACTTTGAAACGAGTCAGTATCACTAAACACTAAATACATCTATGCATTCAAGTACAACGTGAATTAAATACAGCCAAACATAGAATGTATAGGTGTAGTACATACGTGCATTAGTGTTATGTATAAAACATCATTTTCGTCACGGTTTAAAATTCGATTTCCCTCGTCAGATCAGTCATTTACCCCTAGTGTTGCCAATATACAAAAATATTTAATTTAAAACACCGAATTTGAAACAAGAAAGCATTTTTTTCAATAAGTTAATGAAGCCAAAATAAAGTAGGTAAGCCTAAAAAGTAAACTCTGCTTTGTACAATATAAATAAATTAAATGAGCAATAACAGAAATGTTTTAACATGAATACTCTAGGCGGCTGCCGTGTTTATATTAGTTTACGTAGCTTTTCTATGAATGGCACAATACTACACAATGTTTATAAATATACAATAAAATACCGAACGAACAATTCTATTGGTTTCTTTCTATTTTTAGTAAATATTTATAAATTATTGCTTTATTACCTATACCCCTATGCTCACCGATACTGTCCCACTGAAATAAGGTAGTTTTTCATTACGTTCAGCTTTGATTTAAAACTATAAAATATATACAGTAAAAATATATTAAGTAACTAATTATAACATTTTAATATCACATAAGTACGCATCGCTCTTAAGTTTGACAGCCTACATTAATTAAAAAATAACAGTTTCATGTGTGGATATGCCAGACGTACGAAAAATAATACCGCAATATTTCAACAATGGATATGTCCGCATTCGAGACTTGGGGAACGTTCGATGATTATTTACAAGTCTCATCACATGAAACGCAGTCGATTTAAAGTACTAGCACACGTGGATGCCCGCCTGGCTTTCATCTGATGGCGTGGGTCGGCCTGTAGGGAGGCGGCGGTGTTTTGGGAACTTGGGTCTGTGTGTGGCTATGGGGCAGGTGTACAGGGGCGGGGACATCGTCCATCTGGCCGGGTATGATGGGCACTTCCGCGGCGGTGGAAGGTTCTAGACGCGCGCTGCTAGTGGCGGGAAGCAGCCGCGCGGGGTTCAGCTTGATGGCATCATCGTAGGTGGGCGGGGCGCCCGCTACAGTCTCGTAGTCTGGCGGCTTCTGCTGCATCGTCTCCTCGTCCGGCATCGATATCACGTGAATGGGATCGTCAATCTGTAATAACACAGAATTATAGGTTTAGTATGGATATATGTGTGAATTGGAGGCAGGGTCTATCTTACTAACATCTTCGAAAGTGACGAAAGATTTTTTTTTCCAAAAATTGTGAGAGAAATGAACACAATGGTACCTAATTATTGTACAAATCGTGCAAATCCCTTTCTCTTTTTGTTAGCTGTAGCTTGTATTGTGAGTTACTTTGTAGCGGGGTCTTGCAATTTTTATGATTCAGAACGAAGTCAAAACAGGTCAAAAGAAAGATTCAAATTATGATGATCTTGAGTCAAATTATATTCCTTGGTTTTTACAGGTAAATAAGAGTTACCAAAACATATAAAAGTGTAACAGAAATACCATTACAAGCAGATTTTTGTAACCTGTCTTAGTTAACAGATTATTTCACTTGAAGTACCGTTTTGCACCTACTTTCATTTTTTCCTACATTAGAGTTAAAAAGTTTGTTTTTAGCGTTCTAGAAAAACTATTAAAACGTTTTTGTCTATGATTTTGCCAAGTATAATATAATACAAAATATCGTGGTAATATATTACATTAACAAATATTGAATCAAGTTAGTTTTTATTTTGTTGGAAAAAAACGGTAATCGGTTTTATTTTTAAAGTGACATTATCGAGAAATATTTTTATCGTTTTCTATAGATATTTTATTTGGACATTTTAAAGCCACAGTGATGGATTACTAATACACTGAATTGATACTAATGTTTATATAAATGCAGGTCATACAGCGCAGAAGTAGTGATCACAAAACAAACATTTCGAGAAATGGCTGGTAATTGACGCTTTGACGATCTTTAAATCTGCGCGCAATCTTTCCAACTCAAATCGCTGGCTTTCGCGGCCCAATATATTCACATCACTTAACAGATTGTAAGATTGATTTTACTTCTAACATATATGTGAATGATTTGTTTTTCTAGACTTTTACAGACTTTTTTTTTATAATATAAGGTGGCAAACGAGCAAGCGGCCACCCGAATCCACCGAAATGGAAAGCGACAGATTGGCAAACGTGGCATAGCAAAGACGGAGTATTACCTATAACTGAACTTATACATTCTGTCCTATGGTCGTAGGCTAATCGTTTTACATAGTTTGTGCATAAAAAAATTGATTGTTGAATTACCTGGTGGGTGTCAGGCGTTGCGCGGTCGTTGTGTGGTTGCCGTGCGGGCGACTGCAGCCAGCAGCACATGGCGGCGCAGATAAGCAAGGCGCCTGCGACGATGCACGCGACGCCCACGTAGCGTACAGGCTCCGCGTAGTCCTCCGCTAGGCCCAGCCAGTTGATGAGTGCGCCAGCGCACAACAGCACCATGCCGTACCGGTACGGCCGCTGGGACTGTCTGCCTTCGTCCAGAGACATCCCTACAACAACAAAAAACATACTGTTTATGGTTTATCAAAGAAGAGTTTAGGAACTTTGAAAAGTATGGATTTCATATAAATAGGCAAAAAGACGCTGATCGCATATTCGATTGTAATGTTGGTATTTCAAGAGGAAGAAATACACGATGCAGGTAAAAAGGGAAAATATCAATTTATTAATGACGCTGAATAAGATACAGTTAATAATAAAAAAAATGCTTTAGCATAATGACAGTAAATAAATAACGTCATTAAGGTAATAAATGAATAGAAAAAGTAAATGTAAATAGCCCAGTAAACTACATAATGATGTTCAAATCGGACACGAGTAAACTGTCGGTCATTCGGCGCACTGGGGCAATGGCGTCGTAACGGGACTTACTATACAGAACCGGTAAGTTTTATAAAGAAAGTTGGGAAAGTTCACAATTCAATGAAAATTCACTTATTACGTACTCGAGTGCGATTTGCGAGTACCGTGTGAGAACTGGCCGCTAGAAGGAAACAGTTTTAATTATTTTGGATGGATTAACGAGGAAAGGTTGTCATAAGGCTTGTGCATCGGGACTCGTGCGATCGAGGCCGGGCAGAGACAATAGAGTCTTGAGAGATGTGGGTCAAGTTCGAAACGTACGACGCTTAGTCACGCACTGGCGACTTCCATAAAAATTACATTTTAATTACAATCAGACAATTGTTTTAGAATTAAAAACAAAACATTGATATAGCATGTTACAAAGAAAACTGTTAAAGTCAAAGAGCAAGATTCGGAGAGAAAGAGTGTGCCATTATGACACAATACCACTCCTAATTAGCCCTCGTGCATTATTAAATTAATCTGGTCCGCATTGCATCGTAAGCAATCGAATAAAATGAGAAATAAAAATGTATTAACTTACAAGATCTGTCTCTATATGTTGCATCTAATAATATTGGATACATCGGCCAAACCATCATGAATCCGTTTTTCTAACACCTCTAGAATGTTCGATGCAAAAAATTCCTTCCACAACGTTCGATAATATTTTCGTCACCTCTATTGAACACTTGTGCAAACTATTTACGTATTATTCTTATGTAAATAAGCGTGTGTCTATGCAATCTCGCGGCAATATAGTGAAGCGACGGAGAAAAACAAAAGAGATGATATATCTTATCCGGTAAGATAAAGTCTAGAATGTACAAAACGATAAACGAATGAACTACATTTAAAAAACATTGGAAAAATCTTGACATTGACACAGACGTCTTAAATGAAACTGTTAATCACATCTTGATACTTTGAATGCTTCTTTAAAATAACATAAAACGTGCTTCTTAGAGGGTACTTTGAGATTGAATGATTAAAAGAGTTTTCGTGTGAGTTCGTTGACATTACGGTCACCCTTCGACTTGGTGTTAAGGACCTTTATTTTTTAATATTAGAAAGTTTAATTCTTATCTTAAACAGACGACATTGTGATTGATGTCTTATGATTAGAAAACAAAAGAATTCAATACACGAGAACAGAAATTACTGTTTTAAAGTTTACAAATAAGGGAATTTGATGTTAATGATTTTTGGCATCGAAAAACGTGTAAAGGGTTCTTTATTTAATGGAAAAGAATATCTTAAAAAATGTCTATTAAAGTGAGAAAATGTAAATAGAGACGCAGTTGTCCAGTTGTAAGCAGTACATTACGCAGTATGTTGTCGCCCACGCCCTCGCTACGGCTTCCCGCCCGGCCTTACCTACCCATTAGCGCGATGTATTCGGTAACGAGATTAAAACCCCTATGGGTTACACTGCTTACCTTCACACATACCAACAACTGCGTAAATATTATAATTTGATAGTAGTTAGTAACTACCAGCTTTAGAAATACGATAACAAAAACGAATAACACCCTCTCGCGAGATTTTGATCTATGTTACTTCACAAATCGTCCAGCCAAGACTTTTCTTTGGAAGTGACGTCATAAGGGAGCGTCATGCTGTCTGGCGGCAAAAGGTATTTGTAGTAGTTTAATCACAATACATTTCTCATTATTTTTTCTTGATGTACACAAAAACTCTTTGTTTACGGAAATAGAAATCATAATATGGATATCTATCGTTGAAAAGTTACTTTTTGAGCATAATTTACATATTTGTAAGTATTATCTATGAATACATACTATGCCTTTACTCTTTACTTTATTAAAGCTGCGTAAAATATTATCAATATGTTAGAATAATGTATACTCTGTATTGAATACATTGACAATAAAATGCTTTCAATGTCACGTGTTGTTTGTTCTGATACCACAATCCACTTGAACAAATGTTTGTCGTTTCGTAATACTTGATAAAATAAAATTAATTATTCAAGTGCATAGTCGATTTGATAACCGTTGCTGTTTCAATTTTAACGAATTAAATAATACCGTAAAAAATACTTGTTTCTGTCGCGTTCATTTTCCTGAAATTGCACGCAATTTAAAAATTACTTTCTATAGGAATAAAAAAACAGGATTATTGTAAACTATCACAAGCATAAGTAAATGCATTACATTTATTAACTAAATCCAGTAAAGTATAAAAATCAAATTATATCTCACATCAAAAATGGGTATACGAACCTGCCAAGACCAACTACCCTGTTCTCAGTCGCACAAACACTAACGCGTTATTAATTTTCGGACTATACCATAAGCAAATTGTGGAAAAACAATTCATTATACGTATCAATATAATGTTACCTCTGGCAATTTTATTGAACGATGTTGACGTGGCCCTTCATTAACAATCGATTGGTGTTCCCAAGGACGAACATTAACTGCTCATTTGTGTATAACAAAAGTTAACAGCGTCAAGGAAAACATTCTTTTTCAATAAAGTGTAATATGAATCGGAGCATACATAAATGATTATTAAATTCCCATGCCATGGGATAGAATATTCATGAATCTACCACCGTATCAGTAAGCTTTATGAAAGAGATTAACTGCGGCTGTCCATTTGTTTAAGGGTGTGCCTTAAATTAGATTTAATGACAGTTTACACTAAGAAAGTATATATGGAATGCTATGTCCTAATAATGGTACCATTTTTAATGTAGTTTATATAACAACAATGCGCCACCTACTGGATAACTTAAAGTCATAATTTTAGTATTTTACCTCGGTCAAAAATGAGTCTTGATTTAAAACAAGTAACATAAAGTAATTATAAATGGTAATTCATTTAAGTTTTCCTGCTAGAAAATAATTATTTGTGGTATTTTAATCTTACAAATTAATTGTACAAGTTTTTGTAATTAAAGTTTTAATAAATATAATGCTTGGTAATAAAATGTAATACCGAGCATTATGTAATATTTAAAATTTATATTCCAATCTGGAGCGTACTATGGTAAAGGTAATATCTAGTGCTAGCTGGATTAGCTAATAGAATTACTAATACATTAACAGCATTACTAGCAACCTTGAAATCAAATAAAAATAAAACGCATTCATTCCGATATGTATTTATGGACGCGGCAAAAAAATTTTTGTCATTAGTTTTTTTAATCTGTTTTGTCTGTCCTTACAAACAATACATTTGTCCGTGACTTGGTTTATAATATTACATCATTTGCACGTTTAAGTTACGCAAAAAGTACAAATTGATCCGTAACAGACCATAACTGACTAAGGTCCCTCAAAATGGGATTTGTAAGTGTATTTAAATATGCATTACTTGTTCACGCTGGCTTCAAGTGTAATACTCGTACAGTTTAACCATTGTGTTTGATACGGGTTCTAAATTTGAACAATAGAATTGTAGCAATTAGTGGGGATAGGCCGTATGGTCGTTATTAGATGCGCCGGAGTCGTATCCACCGGAAGATGTACCGGTTGCTTGACCCATCACCGTGACTATCTTTGAATATGTTTTGACGTATTAAATAATGTTACTTTCAACTAAGACTTTGGCATTTGTTAATGATAACCTGACCTCTATTATACTCTCTATAAGACTAAGAATTGAATGATACTTTTAAAATCAGCCAACCATGTACTCCACAAGACAGTTCATTTGCTTCTCAAAACCTTCTAGAAGTCTGATTTCCTGATATACAAGGACGCATGAAACCCAATCTCTTGCCGCATTAAGAATTGGATTAAAGATAGACTGCTGTATCGTGGGTATAAGTTGAGTTGACCAACGACTCATTTCATATTGATTATTTGGCCTCATATTCCGGAAACAATATGTTATTAGCAAAACAACCTTCGCAATATCCATTGAGCGTTCCCAGCGGCAGCATTTTAGCACATCAAGGTTTCAATTTTGATTCTAAGGTTAACCAAAATGTATTTATTATAAACAACACTAAGATCATCAACATAATCTACAAAACAGATTATAAATCATTATGTTTACTCAGTTTTAAGTAAATTAATCTTCCAAAAAAATCCTGCCTCGAAGTTTACTGGTCGTAAACATTTTGATACTTGATTAATTTTTTCAGTTTATGTAAAACATGTCTTTTCTTTTTCTAAGACATTTATAAATATCAATCAATACTGATCTTACTTGATTTTTATGTTAATTTAATTTGTGCGTGTTACCGGATTTAATAAAATAAATCAATATATAAAGGAGGGGGCGGCACAGCGCCACCTTAAAAAAATATTTTCCAATGTACGAAGTATAATTTGATACCACTTTTACCGGTTACTCGCATTTTGCATAATTACATTGAAATCATTAAGTAATTGACTAGTAATCAATGCAAAAATATTGATAATAAAAATTAATCGAATATCAATCATCGACGAAGGTTTTATTACTTATTTTAATTGTTTATTGTTCTTTTTTAATCTACATAGATTAGCGAGAATAAATAAATAAGCTTCCTTAATTATTCAATACTTGTTTAGTACCTATAATTCTATGATAATTATAATTACTTATAGGTATATAGGTGTTGCTATATCTGTCCAATTATGTACTCGTAAAATATATAAGAACTAATAACACTAACAAACAAAAG